ATTTACCACATTCTCTTTCCAATACCCTCATCACCTCCCAAAATGAAAACTTTCTCTCAAACTTTAAGGCAGAGGTTTACAACCTTTTTACCCGAACAGACCACAGCTGGATTCCAGCAGTAAGTTACCACAGGATGCTGTATAGATAAAACAAGCCATGAGATACCTGCAAATCCAGGAGTTAGTTCTAATCTACTTTTCTCCCACAAACCAGGCTAAATGGTGAAAAGGTCTATTTGATTAAAGTTGGTTTATAAGTTACAAAAACAATAAAACATATAGTTTTATTCCTTTAGTAAACTGTCTACAGACTATCCATTTTCTCAACATGAAACAAAAAAAATTTTTGTCTGTAATATAATCCTATTGTCATCTGCTCACAAAAGGAGCTTATTACATGCACAGGCATTTATTGAATTTTGATCTACATAATAAATCAGAGAATAAGAGAAGAGAATGAGTTTATATCTATTAAAACAAAAATGAAATCAAAGTGTCCCAAGGCTTTATTTTCTATTTGGAGTAGCATTAAGATGGTTATCAAACATACGAACAAACATTCCAAGTATTACCTATCTGATATATTTAAAAAAAAGATTAAAAAAATCAAACTTGGGAAATCAACATGGGGGAAAAAGTGAAAATCAGACTAAGCCTTATTTAATAAAAAACATGTACTTATTCTGAAAAAGTCCTGAGTGAAGTCAAAGAATCATAAATTGAGTTAGGTGTTCTAATTCCTATCAAGATCCATTTCTCTTATCTAAGAGGAAAATGGAACTCTTATCTAAGTTGGGTAATTTTGCCAAATTCATATAACTAATGATGGGCAGAATCTAGGTCTTCTGAATTCAAGTACCGCATCGTTTTCATACCATTTCAATCACTGCAAAAGTTTTCAATTCAACCAAGCTGAATCCTAAATAAATTCAACCCTTGTCAACTTCCTTTAGTGGCTAAATTCTTTCTTATGAAGGATTCCAAGCACTGACCACAAGTACACATACAGACATTATCAATTTCATATCTGGGAAAGCTTAAGTGGAGTTAAGGACATTAATTTAGAAATATAAGCAATACCTGAATGGAGAAAGTCAACTACCTGGCTGCTGGTGACATTCTCCAGGTGACATTCTCTTAAGTTACATTTTGAGAAACAGCATGAGTTTGTTTACCTTAGCTTAAAACAAAGCTACCGTTTTTATCATCACAGAATACTGAGAATAAGTTCACGTTCAGCTTCTCTGTGACTATTATGAATTCAAGGATCTCATTGCACTCTATATTAACTTTTAAGACCAAGGAGTCAAAAAGAGCTTAAATTTAAGAAATGATCTGAATTTTAATACAGACTATGCCAACTACTGTTAGTTTAGGTAAATCGTTGTCTATTTCTAAACCTCAGATTCTTCCTTCAGTAAAACTGGTGGTGGTGGGGGGGGAATAATTATTATCTTTGGCTCCTTCCAGTTTGACTGTTCCCTTTCACTAATTTCATTAATACTAAAGAAAAAAAATAATACTGTATTATTCATTGAGGTTAACACACACACACTGCCCAAAAAAGTCAGAAGTTACTAGTCATAGCATAGTAGAGTGTGCTAGGAACCACATTATTTGGAGTTTCTTTTGTTTCACATTCAGTTAAGTCTCTAAAAGTCATTCAAAAGTCAATCATCATACACAATAGTTGAACAATGTCAATATTTAGGCATGGCAAACTGAAACTAAATTCCAAGAAAGAATCCCTTCCAGAGGAGGATTTGAAATCTTTTATATACTCAAGAAACTGACAATGCTGAATTTTACTGGACCCCTGTGATCTTGGAAACCAGCGAAGGTTAAGACATT